GGGCAGGTCCTGCTTACTTAACTGAAGACTCAGAGTGGCAGTTGGGTCCAAGTTTCCTTCAACTTCCTGAAATTGAGTGGTCAAAGAAATCTGCAAATGATGTTGCTGTGCAGGCAAGAGACAATGTTATAAAAATACAGAAGAAAACATTTGTTGCTGTACTTACCCGAAGTCAACTGAAAGAAGAAAAGAGTAAACTGATCATCTCTAGGAGGCCGCCTGCAGCTGCAGTAGCCCAGCAACTAGTGGACGTGAGCCACTTCAGCAGTTTGAGAAAACTGATAGGGGTAGTTGCATGGATTTGGAGAGCAGCAAAAAAGTTCCTGCATTTCAAGGTCACAGATAAAGAAAAGTGGGAGGCGGTCCCTTCATCTGGTGTCATTACAGTTGGTGAAAGACAAGATGTGTTCAGAGACCTATGCCTAGCAGCACAAGAAGGTGTACAATTTCCAACTACAACGACTGATAGACTTGTTGTCTACAAAGATGAAACAAGTGGGCTCTTGATGTGTGGCGGCAGAGTTCAGACTTTTAAGGAGGACCACAGAGGCGTTCCTCTGTTGCCCTTCCAATCTTGGATCTCCACCCTTCTAGCCCGAGCAGCACACAGTGAAGGACATGATGGAGTGGCAGGAACTTTGCTGCGTATGCGGAAGAAAGCATGGGTCATCAGAGGACGAGTCATTGCCAGAAAAGTTGTTGATGAGTGTGTACTGTGCAAAAAGATGAGAGCAAAAACCTGTCAGCAAATAATGGGGGATCTGCCTGAAGAAAGGTCTAATCCAAGTGCACCATTTCAGTTCATTTCTGTTGATTTGTTTGGCCCTTACCAAGTGAAAGATGATGTCAAGAAAAGAGTGAGCATGAAAGTTTGGGGTGTGTTGTTCTGCTGTATGTCAAGTAGAGCCATTCATGTTGAACTGGCAAACACGCTATCTACAGAGAGCTTCATACTTGCCTATCAGAGGTTTACGTCCATCAGAGGTCAACCCCAGAAGGTGTGGTCTGACCCAGGTACGAACTTTATTGGGGCAAAACCCATTCTGCAAGAAATGTATGCATACCTGAGGCAGCAAGACAAATTCTCACTTGAAGAGTATGCTGCAAAAAATGGGACTGACTGGACATGGAAAATTCTTCCAGCCGATTCACCACATCGCAACGGCGCAGCTGAAGCTGCTGTCAAGATCATTAAAAGAGCGTTACAAAGTCTTGGCAGAGTGGAAGGTCTTACCTTCAGTGAGTTTCTTACGACAGTTAAGCTAGCTGCCAATCTAGCCAATGAAAGACCTATTGATGCTAGAGTACAGAGTCATGAAGATCGAATCCAGTACATCACTCCAAACACCCTGTTGCTCGGTCGAGCTACACAAAGTGGAGATTTCAAGACATTTGACTATACCACTTATCCCTTTAAAAGGCTGCGAGAAATACAAACTCAAGTTGACTACTTTTGGAGGTCCTGGAGTCAACTTGCAGGTCCCAACTTGTTTGTCCGTGGCAAGTGGCATACTGCTGAAAGAAATGTTGCTATTGGCGATGTGGTCTGGCTCTGCGACCAAAACACGCTAAGAGGGCAATTCAAGATGGGCAGAGTTGTTGCTGTGAATCCTGATTGCAAGGGCATAGTCCGGGATGTTTATGTGAAAGTTTCTCCAAGTGGGTATAGTTCAGGAAATGCACCCAAACCTTCTGTGAAATGTTCTGGATTGGTGAAGGAGGTTCAGGGCACCATACTCCATCGGGACGTCCGGCGCCTTGTAGTGCTCATCCCAGCAGAAGACCAAGCAGAGGGAACCAGCTTACTTAAAAAATGCGATCTTCCCAGGTAAAACCTTGCAAGTTCGAGTGGGAGGTGTTGCGCAGATCTGCTCATTAGTTCAGATGGAGGTGCATGAACAGACATTTGTGTGTGCACATACACACACACACACACATTTCAGTGTGCCACTCTGCAGCACTTCTCAGCAGGTGAAAGAAATCTGGCCCAATCAGCAGCACCCTCAACTCAGGTAATAAGGAATCCACAAACAGCTTTACTGGTTTTGCAACAGAGCTGAGGAAGGCAAACACAGCCTCCAAAGCAGCATTTCATGGGAAAGGACTTAAAAGGACTACCGGTTTTTCACCTGCTCTGTTCTGTTTATTGGTTCTCACTCATTGGTGAAAATAAAAAGACTGAGTGAATTCCTGATGTCTTCAAGTCCTCCTTTTCAAGTGTAGGAAGCCATGAAATTATAAGACACTTGACAGTAATACCTCAAAAGCAGTGTTATGTGAAATTAAATTCCTAAAAGGAACCAGGACATTTTATGCACGAAATGTCTTTTATTCTTAAACAGAATGCAGCAAAAAATACTTGTGACAAGCCTCTTGAAGAATTACCACATTTTATTTAGTGACCCTAATTGCAACATGTCCTAATGTTTATTGAAAAATTAGAGGATTGCATTATGAGATTACAGAGACAATTTACCACAAGAACAGGGTGGCTTCATTTGAAAGTACTGGAAGCAAATTTACAGCTTTTATTTAAACGGACACAGACGAGGCTTTTTATTCTGAAATAACTTCTACATGTTTGTTGGCATGAGCTGAGCTGAATCTTGATTTCTGTCTTTAGTGCTCATGTTGCACCTTTGAAAACCCAAAACCATCTGCAGCTTTTCCATAAACTGTTCCTGACATGTGGCAGGCGAGTCTGACACATGTCACCAGTGGAGACAGGGGCCTTGGCATCGCGTCTCCTCGCGCAGCTCCTGCGCATTTTAAGCAGAGCTTAACCACAGACTGACTGCCATTAGCCCACTAGCTTCCCTTCCTCTGCAGGAGCGAATTTGAACGGAGGGATTTAAAACTGCCTGCATGCGTGCGTGTGGTGGAAATGAGAACCAGGCGCGCCACGCTGCTCTGTTAATGCTGTTATGACTCTGCGTTTTTAATATGATGGCAACAATGAAAGCCTGTTGCTATCAGACTGACTTGTGTGTGAGCGAGCGAGCTTTCCATACATCCGTTTGCGTGAGCGTTCGTCTGTGCAAATGTTTCTCATAAAGCACATTGTTAGGCAAGTTAACCCCCCGATAATGAACTCTTCCTCTGTGTGTGAAAAGGCTGCTGTTGAGGGAACCATGGGAATATGTGCAGCAGATAGAGGAAGTGCTGCTCACACAGCGGTGGCATTAAAGATGCACAGAGATATGAGCTGAAGTGAGACGACATGAGTCTTACATGGTAGAGAAAATGAGAAAAGAGGGAGAGCTTATTATTTGATAGGAGTGAGAGCATCTGTCTCATCGCAGACTTGCATTAAGGTTGAAGTCACTGCCGTGTCCATGGAAACCAAGAGGGAAGGAAAACGGAGGATCCTTTTATCTGGACCTTTACCTGAATGATCAAAGGTTGTCTGCTGGTTTGAAAGAAAGAAAGGTTTTTCGCAGAATCATGGCTGCAGTTACGCTTTTGCTTTAGAGCAAATGTGATGAAAATAGCTGTGTTATTCTCACTGGTCCACAGAGCATAGAGCTGCAGCGAGGAGACAAGCTGTAAACAAAATGCTTGCCTGTTTCCTCCAAAGAAGAAACAAAAAGTCTGTTGAAGTTCACCACCTAACACGTCCTAACGCTGTGAAAACCAGAACATTTAAACTTATTTTATCTTAATAGCAAACCTTAGAACAGAATGTATGCACAGCACTGAGGACATTGATTGACCACTTGTGGTTAAAATATTAACAACAAAAACATTTAAAGTCACCTTTTATTACAGACTATTTTGTAACAAAACATTTAAGGAAAATTTAACCTTTACTGAACATCCTTATTCAGTACCGGAAAATCTCAGCGTTGGAGAAGGATCAAATGATTTCCCATCCTGCCATTAATACTTAGTAAGCGCTCTTTTGGAAACAGATCAACACTTCTTCTACAACTTATCGGTTGAAGCAAACAAATCTAGAACAAACTCTCTAAACCATCCAAACAAGATTTACAGGTATTACAACGATGTCATGATTGAGTTCACTCATCATAAGCATCATACCCACTGTACTTAACAGTAACAGCGTGCATGGAGTGTTTTTTCCCCACATATTTACTGCTGGAGTTATGAAAATGGACTCATTCTTATTCTGAAATCGACAAACTAATTTTTCCCTCTTCAATGAATGGAAAAAGCATTAATTGTAAACAACTGATAGCATACGGGTAGAATCTAATGTTTGGAAAGTAATGCATTGCTAATTATAAATGCTTTAGTTACTTTTATTGTAAAGTTTCTGGTGAGGATACTTGTATTTTTTTCCTGTAATACATTTTAAAAAACATATTACTACACATGTGATAAGAGCTTTTTTATTGGAATAAAGGTATCAATCAAAGGATTGACTTCTGTGAGTGCAGAATCTATAAAAAACATAAAAAAATAAATATTTTTAATAAGAAATGCAATGTTCAACTAGACACTGTTCCTTTCTTGATCTTCAATGTTGCACATCATTATGCTGAATTCCAACACTCAAATGGCCTTAAATGCACTCATCTCAAAATAACTGTAACACCACAGCATTTCCAAACTAAACCCTTGGCCTGAACTTTCCTTTTTTTCATTATTATTTTCATGGGACTGAGGGCTGGGGCTCTCTGCTTGCGGTCGCCGACACATCTGTGCACTCCTCTGATGGGACACAATGTGGGAGGAAGATGGTCTCTGAGGTTGTCTGAACGTTAGGCAGAGGTTGTAGAAATGTTAGCGGGGTGGCTGGATGGGAGCCAGGATGAGAAGATGTCACCCCGTCAGATTTAAAGCGAGAGCTGTGGGAAACGCCTACAGGGGGATCTTGAATCGTGTGTGTTTGTGTGTGAAGAGGGAGGTTTGGGTGTTTGGTTGTGCGGTTCGGTCTGAGCCCCAGCTAAAGGCCCTGAGGACACCGCAGAGGCACGCACATCAGCAGGGACCAGGATGACCCAGAAAATACGCCCACTGAGAAAAAAAGCACACACCTCAGTGTCGTTGTTGAGGTTCCATAGGTCCAGGCGACCCATGCCGTCCACGGCAGCAAACATGGCGGGATGCACAGGTGACCACATGACGTCATAAACATAGTCGGCGTTGTCCTCAAAAGAGTACAGAGGCTTGTTGTGCTGAAAGAAAGCAGCAGGAATAAGAAGAAATCTGTTGACAAGTGTTTGATGGCGGGGAGTGAAACAGTACTGTACCGAAAAAAAACAACAAAACAAAAACAGAGGGACTACAGGAGATGACACATTGGAGATGGATGGAAAAAAAAAAGAGAAAGAGAGAAACATGCAGAGTAAAAAAGGAATGGCGAGAGGGAGTGTGTGAGCTTCAGACAGAGTGGCGCTGCCTCAGCCTTGGGGCCTGTCTGGGTGCAGAGCCTAATTAAAAAGCCTTGCACATTCACAGAGCACCATAAAAACCGCTGTGAGAGATGAAAGGCAAGCCCCCCCCCCCCATCCACCCTCACAAGGTGTACTGTAACCTTAACACAACAGCTGTCGGAAGGATGGGAAGAGATAGAAAATGCAACAAGGAGGAGGGATGGACAGGTCAAGAGGTGCCTCTAGAAGGATGGAGGCGTTTCAGCCGCAAAATAGGTTAATTTATCAGAAATAAGTTTGTTGATGAAACTGCATGAAAAACTGCAACAATAATCTCAGTATTCAGGCCTGCTGATATTACACTTTTAATATAAACTCAGAATGAAGTTTCACACCTGGTTTTGGTGGGAGATGTTTCACCTTTGCATGTGAAACTTGGCAGTGCCCTCTAGTGAACAAATACCACATTGCATGTCATAATATACAGACAGTGGAGGAAACATCTACCCATTCCACACAAAGTTTCTCACCTTCTACTCCACAATATTTTTGCCAATTTAATAAGCTTCTGCAGAAAATGCGATAAAAATGTGACAAAACTGAAACACTAACGACAGAATTTTATTTGGGTTTACATCAATTAGTGTGAACTGAAGAAAAAAACAAGGAAAATCATGTTTCATCTCGGTCCAACTGGCATTTATTTACTGCTAAGTACAAACACAATCTACAGCACTACAAATTAATAACATCTGTCACTTCTTTAAAATCCTAAATACATATTAAATGTAATGAGGACACAATGGCATTGGGGTTTTCAGATTTAGGTCATATTAAAATTGGATATAGATGAATCTGATTAAACTGCAAAAATAATAAATCTTCAAAACACATCAAAGGAACAAAACTGTGGCAAAACCAAATATAAAATGCCAACAGACAGTGGTGCTGAAACATGGCATTTCTCAGGCATTCAGGCACTAAATCAGCCCTTTTACAGAAATACTTTTTTCTAAAATGTGTTTGGTGTATCTAAATAGTTTTATGTTTCAGGAAATACATCCTTCCTTACAGAGCTGGATAATTAAAAGAATACATTAAGCTTTGGTTTTGATAGTCATCCTGATGGACTGAAATGATCATCTGCTGTCATCCATCATAAATTATATCTGTAAGTTAAAAAATGTGGAAGAATCTGCTGGAATGTGTGCGACTGTCTGCGTAATCCCCATCTTTCAGACTGACAGTGTGGACTCCAGGGGCTTAAAAACCAAACCTGTGTTCCCGACAAGAAGGGTGGGAGGGGTCCTGGAGAGGAGACAGGTTGGCTGGAGGAGTGAAATAAAAGAATGTACAGTATCTGTCTCTCTTCCTCATTCTTATCCCCCTCTTCACTCCCCTCTCCACCCATTACACTTTCCTGCTCCAATGTTTTGGAGTCAACATGTACGCACCCAGAAAGCCTACAATAAATGGCCGAGTTAATGTCAAGCTTAGATTGAAATAGTTTTCCAGTCAGCCTGATGACAGGGGAATTTGTTTCTTTTTCTCGGCATCATTTTTTTTTAGTCGATAGGTTAAAGGGTGACCGTTTATGTTCTCATCATATCAGCTTTGTTTTATTCTCCTTCTATATTCGTCATCCTAGCTCTTGTATCGGAACACATCTCACTTTTTCAAAAATCTATCTGTCACCTAATTCAGGTATAAACTGAAAATTATACGTGACTTAAAGAAATCAACAGAACTGATTCCGGTTTAAGCTATTGTTGTGGGATTTTCCCTCCTTTTCCAAAGAACGTGAGAAGTTTCAAAACTAATCTCAAAACATGGTTTAATCCAAGTGGCGCCACACAGAAAGTACCTGGTTGTCATTATCTTCCCGGTGATGGTAGGCCACGAGGCTCCATGCACGCCTGAGCTAGAAAACCTTTCCTGAACAGAGAGCTTCAGTATTACAGCGAGCTGTGTTATTACAAATAAAAAAGAAGCAGCTACAAAGCAACTTTTCAGATTGTTCAAAACATTAATTTACAGTGATCAAAAAAGTAGGAAGGAAAAACTGTCACTTCAGATCAAAAGGCACTAGCATAAAATATTCAAATGATCATTTTTACTGCAGTAGTAAAATGATCCAAGATTACTTCTTCCCTATCAGTACTTTGGAGTCGCTTTCTCATGAAACCAGGATAATTCTCAGATCATTAATGTCCCTATATTTTGATTTTTTATTTTTTTTTATCAGAAAAAAGATTGCCTTCAGCATCCATATATGCCGCTTATAGTGCAACTTTAGAAATGGGTCAATAGCAATAACACTTCCTACACTAATAAACCAAATTTTTTGCACTAAAAATGTTTCCACTGTACTGCTTCATGAATATCTATGCTAAAAAAAATTGGGATTGGAAGGAAAATATAAGAAAATGCTTGAAATTGAAATTAACCCTCTTTTTGAAAAGAGTCAACTGTCACAACAACCATTGTCATCTCTAGCCTAATTTGTTCAGCTGATCTCCTCTACCAAGCAAGGAAATAATACCAGCTGAAGTCTTTTGCAGATTACACAAATAGCCATTTTTATATGATATGGAGGCATATTGATAAACCTCTGCATATGTGGAAAGCAACGGCTTCATTTGGTTTTATTTGAACGTAATCTGACTAAATTCGGTAAGGGGGGGAGTGGTAACATTAGGAAGAAAATTTTACAAATAACCAACAAACAAATTTGTACTCTAAAGGTGCATTCATCCTCGGCGAGGGTGGTGGATCGACATAGTATCTCTATGCAAACGAGGTGGACAATAATTGTGAAACGGCTGGGCGGTAAATCTAATTCGGTAGAAATGAGTTGTTGTCTAACAGTGGCATCGCATGGAGAAAATAAAGCGGTGAAGTTGAAAAAATTTTTCTATGAAATTATGTAGCGGCAAACAATCAGGGACTGGTTTTGTTTGTGACGGTTGAAGAAGTGCAGCTGAGGCGAAGAAATAAGGAATGCTATTCAGATGTTTTTAGGTGACTTTTAAAAAGGCTGTTTTAATTTAGTGTGTCAGCTTAAACTCGTATTTAAGAAATTGTGTTTAAAACTAAAAAGGGTAAATCTGTAAAAGAGGAATTAAACACCAGATCACTTATTCCAGATTGTATAAATTGGGCCTTAAAGGTGCTATCTTTATGTTACTGTGAAAATGTGGATATTCTAATGTAGACCCTTATAAATTCTAAAGTATCTTCTTACTGCTGCTAATGCAGTTTAATTTTTCTATTATTTAAATTCCAACAAGATAAAAAAAAAAAGTTGAAAAACACTGGAGTTTGTTTTCCAAGTTTGTAGACATTTCGCTTCGAATCCAGGAAGCTTTTTCAATTCAAAATGTCTGGATTAGTATTAAGTTCCAGGCTTTATAGAGTAGCCCAACAAAGCCTTGTTATGGCTTACAAAACATGCAAATTGATCGAAAAAACAGGTCCAACCTTTAATAATGGGGTGTCGTTGAGGTTGTTTTTGGACTGCAATACCCGATACTGGTCTATGCCAGTGAAAAAGGAGTCATTAGGGTCATTGTTGTTCTGGCTGACCAGGTGAGAATGTTTCCTGGACGGTAACTGAAATGTCCTCAAACTTGGAAAACAAAGTCCAGTGGTTTCTTTTTTTAATTTTTTTTACTTTGTTGGAATGACTATGACCTGGATGACTGAGAATCTTCACCCCAATATCTATTAGTTAAAGTAGTACAAATCTTTCCTAACTCACTACATTTCTACGTCACAGCACCAAGTTCAGGTATGGCGTGGGTTTGGAAATGTAAGCATTGCACTTCAGTTTTTCAGGTGAGGATTTTATTTCCTATTAGTCAACATGCCGTTTATTTGAGGTACTTAGATTTATCAGTCATCTTAAATTTCCCGCCACATTCTCTCATCCTGATCGCACCACTGCTTAAACCCATTCCCATCATCCCCATATTTGGCCACGCCCCTCAGTGTAGCTTGGCAACACACTCATGTACAGTAGTTGACCTCAGACTCGACCTGAGCCTGACTAATTCACCAGCTGATATTAGTTTAAGGGTCTGAAAGCCAGTGTTGGGCAAGCTACTTGTCCAGTGTAGTGAGCTAAGCTATCAGCTACTCAACAATAAATTAAGCTTCACTACACAAAAGCTACCACCTAAAGAATTATAGCAAGCTAAGTTACACTAATGTGTTAAAAGTAGCTTAACTACATCAGAAGCTACTTAACGTTGTACCAACCTAATGTCAATTCAAAATGAGTCTGACACACTAGTTAAAATATTTATTAAAGATCAGCCAATGACATATCACAGTGTAAACATTGCTTTATGATCAGCATATTAAAATAAAAACTAAAGTAATTACTAGTAGACAAACTAGTAAACAATCTGCTGTTATTAGAACCAAATTAAAGGTACTGTGTATTGTTCTACACATCGAGACATGGCTATGAGTTTGCATTCAATGGACATCTCTAGGGAAAACAAAACCCTACAAAAGACCTCAATTAAACAGTTGATTCAAGTAACAAACAAAACTGTTTACAAAAGAAGGTGAAAAAATAAAGAAGCTAATTAAGAGATACATATATATATATGTCTCACCGTATAATTTAATTTCTACCTACATATTTATTCATTGTATTTTTGGAGGCAATTAATTGAATGCTTATTTATTTATTTATTGAGCATTTATTTATTTATGTATTTATTTTATATACGGTAGAGCTGTTCCTCCATAAATAAAAACATCTTGTCTGTGCACAGCCTAAAAACAGATTTATGTAAACATCCTGTCAGGTAAACTAGGCCATGAAAACACAATATCGAAGTTTCACTACTGCTCTCTAATTAGAGTATCTTAGTGGCACATAGATATGGGAGAATTATCCTGCCATAATGCAAGAGCACATCATTTCAATTTGAGAAAAGAATTTCATCTTCTTGCTCTCAAAACTTATAATGCTCACACTCAAAACATGCGCTCTCTCTCAAATATTTTCTCTTCTCTCTTTGTTTCTTCTCTCAGATTTAATCCTTCTTGCACAGATATTTTCTCCTCTCGCTTGCCTCCTTCTCTTCGCGCACAAACCGCGCTCTGTTACGCTCGCAAACCCGTAGGCTCTGCTTGCGGATTTGTTTTGCTCTCTCAGACTGCAGTTGGATCGTTGCCTAGCAACCTTTCCAGCCAATAGAACGACAGCCTCGGAAAGGGTGCGCTTGTTTAACTCTACTGAGTGTGCCTGTGCTACTACGCCACTTATAAGAGCGTCAGCTGAAACTGCTATTTACAGTAGCTTGTGGCTGATTGTTGTTTCAAAATAGAAAACCTGGTTTCATTTCTTAGTTTTGCCCTGGATTTTGTAGCGTTTGTGGACGCTACATCGCTACTTGATCAAAACAATAACGTCGCTACAGGAAAGTTACTTGATAAATAAAGCAGCGACGCTACGGTCAAGCTACTGGAAAATGTAGTTAAACTAATAGCTTCGCTACATGTAGCGGCGCTACTGCCCATCACTGCTGAAAGCTACTGTTATGTTTCTGCAAATTGTTTTGCAGGAAGTAAAACTTAGAAATAACAGTATTATACCTGTAAAAATCAGGATTTATTTTATTATTTATCCCTCCATATTAGGAAGGATTATGTTGGAAAAGTGACTGCACTTTTAAATAAACTGAATATTGTTTTTACTCAGCTATTTATAGAGATCCAGAAAAAAAAACACCCTGCTTTTAATTACTGCCCAGGTTAAATGTGCATATCAAAATCCAAACTGATATAATGTTTTACGACTGCAGCTGAGGCACCTTCACCCAATTAAAAGAGCACACCAGGTCAGACCTCTGCCATAATCTCATCTCCAAAGACACCTTCTGATACTCAGCTCAGACATTATTCACACTCCTCACCAATCACCTGAACTGACAGTGAGGCAGGCCTGTAATTAACTCCTTCAGGGAGCAGAAGAGGAATTATTATACTTCATCCAATCACTTAGTAGATGCTGGCTTTGGGGTCAAGAGAGCAAGACGGTTCAAGTTATGCGCCATCATAAACTCACTCTCAGCTGTCACGACATCTTCAAACTCTGGCCCGGCTCAGAACGTTTCCACTAACCACAATATTTGCACCGCTGAGAGTAAAAACATTAGCAAGCTTCTGTACGACGGCCTTTTTAAACTGTGAGGGCAAACGTGTGAGCGAATACGAAAACAATTCAACGGCGACCTGTGTGTGTGTGTGAATAGCAGGAGGACTGAAGGTCGACCTCAAGGGGATTTCATCCCAGCAGAGACCGCCTCCTTAAGATATATATGCATGTGAGGCATGTGCAGTGTGTCTGTAGTCTCACACCTTCACACCTCCAGGTAAGTGCCTGCCCACACACAAACATAGGTTATGTTGGAAGGGATAGAGGCACACATTCCTGCGGTGGCCCTTGAAGGAAAGGGAATTCCCAAATCCCGGAAAAAAATAAAAATAACACACTCTGCTGATGAAAATCCGCAGAAATGTTTTAATATGTGTCGCAGGGCTTTATGGACTGGCTGCTTGCAAACATGAGCCAGAATTCATCATAATGTTTTATGGTCTGTTGCTGCCAAGTATGAAAGCTGAAAAAAAGATCCTGAGCCTGGCTGTAGGTATTATGGTGAATTCATCATCCTTTTTATCATCTTCAGGAGGCCGTTTTAAGACTTTGGATGTTTCCTTTAAAGGAATAGTACACCCAAAACATGATTAGCCTTCATTTTCTACTCACCCCCATGCTGAACAACACTCTGGAGTACTTTTTTGATATCTCAAATGCATCTGGAGATCTGGGAGGCTTCTTGCTGTCTGCTGACATTCAAATAATGGAGGTCAATGGTGACCGAGACAGAAAGGTCCATAAAAGTCCACAAAAAACGTGTCAATATTCCTCCATACTGCTCGTCCAATGTATTCCAAGTGTCCTGAGTGGGTAGCATCCAGAATTTACTCGAAACGAAGTCATTTAGAATGTTTTTAGAGCATAAACAGTAGTGTATAGTATTTCCTGAAAGCGCGCACATGCGCGCTCACGACGCTACGGAAGCCGGCAGATCAAACCAGCGCATTCAGCTCGGCAAAGAACTCATGCTCTTCCTCAACACTGAAGTCCTCAGACATTTTTCTTTCGTTGTTTCTTTCTTTGCACAGGTAAACAGCACATTTCTTCTTCTACGCTTGCATTATTGGAAGAGCAGACGCTGAATGCGCACTTTCATCTGGTTTGATCTGCCGTCTTCCGTAACGTCGTGAGCGTGCGCGTGCGCGCTTTCAGGAAATCCTATACACTACTGTTTATGCCCAAAAAAAATTCTAAATGACTTCGTTTCGAGTAAATTCTGGATGCTACCCACTCAGGACACTTGGAATACATTGGACGAGCAGTATGGAGGAATATTGACACGTTTTTTGTGGACTTTTATGGACCTTTCTGTCTCGGTCACCATAGACCTCCATTATTTGAATGTCAGCAGACAGCAAGAAGCCTCCCAGATCTCCAGATGCATTTGAGATATCAAAAAAGTACTCCAGAGTGTTGTTCAGCATGGGGGTGAGTAGAAAATGAAGGCTAATCATGTTTTGGGTGTACTATTCCTTTAAGATGATTTTCTCAACGGTCTTCTTTTTGAGTCTACATAAGCTATTTTTATACAGTTTGATTTAGTATCTCTAATTTAATTCCTCCTGCTGACTTCTGCAATCAAATGCTTTGCTCTTCTGTTGATGCATAAATCTGTGCGACATATAAAATCAACAGAAAACTGAGAGTTGAGCCTCTGAGGCATAAAAAATGTCTTGTCTGTGTTTTAACCAACTTTTCTCTCAGCCAGCCTTTCTCCGACAGCAGTAGTGACTGTTTGTATTTTACTGCCACCGAAATGCTGGCAAATTGAACTCATCACGTTAGTTTGAAGGGAGAGAAAATGCCCTGAGTGGACAAGGTCACTCTAAAGCGCCAAGAGGAGGAGAGCCCACCTCTTGAGTCTGTCCGACTTTGATTCTCTGAATGTGCTCGCCGGCGGCATCCTGTCAGGGGTATTTGACAAACACACAAGGAACCACAGAAGTAAACCTAGTTCTTCGTCTCCATCAGATTAAATGCTAAGAACGTAAAAAGTGACAAAGACCAAGATGCATGTTATGTATATGTAGTAAAGCATGTGCAGACTCTAGCCTCTTAAAACCATGTCATTGTAATGTATTCAAATTAAAAGTTGTGCCCCAACAAAGAGCAACCCTGAAAAGTAACTTTTAAAAATGTATTTAACCATTATTAATCTGAAAAATCTGAAAAGTGTGGTGTGTATTTGGATTCCATCCCATGTCCATTTATCCACCAAATAAAATCCTAACCAAAGCAGCTCATCTTAGTGGTCATCAGTCCACCTGTAATTACAGTATAATTACAGTTGTTTCTAAAGGCCAATTGGTTCACAAGAAGTTGTGGAGAGGTGAAGAAAAAACGTTATATAGAAAACAATATCCTGAACCTTGAACATCTAAACGAGCTTTGTTTAGTTTATCTACTTAAAATACAAACTTAAACACCTGAAGTGAGAGGCTTAAAAAGAGAATATTCAGAATAGCAGCCATGGTAGATCTGGGGAGCTGCAAGGTTCAACGTGTCTTTGGTTGCAAACATGAGAGAATGGGCACAGCTCCTTGTGATGAATTATGTTACTGTCGGGGAGCAATAACTAAAAGTGCTTTTGGGTTTTCTCCTTAACATCTTTATATAAATATGAAGACAACATTTAAGTGTTATTAAGAGAATATTTCATAAGAGAGTTTCTGGGGACAGAGTCTTGGAGAAGGACGACCTCTGAGAGGATGAATTCAGGTCATATTTATCAGTTTCTGGCTTCTGATTAATACATACACAACAACAGGTTGTACAGACCTTACTCCAACACACATACACACGGACACGCACAAACAGCAAGAAAAAGACTGATTTTCAAATAGTTGTTCATCCAATGTACTCAACTCCCTCCCCTCATTCTCTCAGGAGTCCCTCTATGTAACCTTTCAGAGGCCACAATCAACCCCCCACACATCTGTTCCCTCTGCCTTTTCCTCCCTCCTTCACACACATACATGAACTCACACACGGTGTACCTTGGTGCTCCAGAGCTTGACTGTCCAGTCGAAGGAAGATGTAATAAACAGGTGGGAGAAGTCTACTGTCCCCACTGCGCTGTGACAGCTGATGCCAGTGACCGGCCCCTGGTGGCCCTCGAACATTTCACAGATTCCCGCTTTACTGGAGGAGATTAAAAGAAACACATAATTCAAATTTTTTATTATATTTAATTGCATTTTTCCTAAACTTGGTAAAAAGGCTAGAATATTTTTTTTACTATAGCTCGGTTTCCATTACAAATGTGCGAAAAAACATGTAGATATTCTGCTAATAGAACATAAATCTGTGATAAACGGATCCATGAAAACAACATGGTAGCGGCATACAGTATGTAAACGCATGAGATACACTTGCATGTTTCAGCCATGGATCTAGTGGGCGCCATCATCCTCCAGCAACATCCGTTCTTCTTCCTTGTCTTTTTACAAGGCATTAAGGTCTGGTTGCAAATCACGTGACTCGTGAGATGCGAAAAAAAGTGTTTCCATTGCCGTTTTGCAAAATGTAAGAATTTCAACATGGCTGAAAAATTACTTCATGGAAGTATAAATACATATTTTTTTTCAAAATTACGCAGTTGCCATTTAAAGAATTTATTTTCTTAATCATAATTTGCACAATTTGATGGTTAATGGAAAAGAAGCTACTGATGGTTTATTTCTGAGTGAGTAATATAGGCATAAAACAGCAACAGAAAAAGATGCAAAAAGTTTCTCTTTCTGCTGATTCATACATTTTTTCAAAAAACAGATCAAATATACCTTCCTAGAAAAATGTTTACCTAAACCACTTTGTTTCCTTTATTTTGGGGCTACCTTAAACTGTACATGGGTTTTTCACTAAAATGCCATGACCTCCTGACACCAAAGAACCAACATAAACCACAATAGCCTTAAGGAGTAATAATTCTTTGCATAAATATTTTGACTTGTTGTAAAAAGGGTTCATTTTTAGACCACATGATTACAGAGCATTAGTTGTAAAGGCTCAAACATACTTGGGCGTATTGACAAAAAACCGTGGTCTACACTTTGGGTATTTCTGACTTCACAGTAAAGCATAGCATGATCCTCCTGCCCATTAGGGTCACGCTGTTAAAACTGATCTCTGCGAGAACTTGTAGAACATATATCTGCTTTAAATGTTTCTGCTATGTTTACTAAAGAATTTAAACCTTCACCTTTTGGCAGCATTTAAATAACTTCCTACACTATGAATGCCTCCTCCTGACTTAAACTTCCCGCTCCTTACTGACACTAAAATTAGCTAACAAAGATCCTTTTTCCCGATTCCTCCGCACTGAAGAGTGTGATTTGCACAAATTACTAACACTTTTTCTGCAGTGCGTTTACTGATCAGGAAAGAAGATGGGATTTTTGAGTTTATAAATGGCAAAAATCCACCAACTTCAATCAGTGATTTATCTCTTGATGCCTTATCATCACATTTAGTTACAGGTAAATTAAGCACAGGTTTGCACAAAGATGCAAGGCGTTTTCCCCACCTTCCATGTCTGGATGCAGTGTACACGGTGCCCTCTTCGCTCCCCACCACATAGTTGTTGACATCTCCCGTGGGGAAAGCCATACCAGTCACAGCAACAGGCTTAGATTTATTGTACACAAGCTCCATGGTCTCCTACACAAAGGAGTATCATTATTTTTGTTAATTTGCACTATAAAGACTTCTCAAGCATCTATCATACAGAAATCCAAGAGAACTTTTCTACAAACGTCTGAACATTTAACTCTCCTAGCAGGTTGTGGGAACTCGTCAAAACGATGGTCTGATGAGGGACAATTTTTCAGTACCTGAGGCTGAGAAAGCATATCCAGACTCCACGAACACAACCTCCCATCTGTCGACACGCTGATCAGGTTGTTGGCGTTCTGGGTGCCGACCACGTTCACACAGTAGACGGGGTGCTGCAGCATCAAACACACCCCATAACATGCAGTCACAAAACAGAAAGGGAAAATAATATGTTTGCAGTGCAACTTATCAGACAGAAAATATGCTTTAATAAAAAGACACATTAGATAACATTCTTTAAAAAATAATAATTTTTTTACCTGAGAAATCTGTTTTGAATAGACAATTCCTGAATACAAAAAATGTTTGGAACATTGATCTTCTATAGTTTTAAGCATTGGCTTTAGTAAATTTAAAAGTGTTTATAATCGAATCACGTGACATAATCAGCTGCTTTAAGGAATAAAGGCAGAAGGCTGACAGGCAACTGCATGTCAGAGTGCAGTGGTGCTTTTCAAGCCCTTTACGCTTGGAACATGTGCTGCTGTTCAAATCCACAAGTGTGTGAAGCCATTATATCATTACTGGGCAGTAATTGATTTGTCTGCTGGGCTGCACAAAGGGTCCATTCAGCAATCAGCACCATGCTAGTAAGCTAGACTTCAGACTACACTTAACGGCAAAGGACTAGGGCTGCAGTCTCCTCCAACCTACAGTGTGGATGGTACGTAGCGATATACGGGTATATATATGCCATCGGTAACTAAGATTAGACAGGGACACGAGCTTGAAGATGTCACTTATATACATGCATTGATGATCTGCCAAAGTTTAGGGAGTTCACTACAGATTAACTGAGTAATCCTTTCAATTTGTTTTCTTCTTATCACGTCACAGTCTCCCTAAAATGCAAAACATGACATTTAGAAAATGTAACATTCTGCTATTAAAAAAAAAGAAAAGAAAAAAAATGGGTTTAGGTTTCAAAACATCTAGTTTTCTTGGGTTTCCAGTAGGTTTTTGTTTATGTAAATGATTTGTTTGGTTATGTCTCTCAAATGATTAAAAAATGTAAAACAGAATTTTCTTAGTTAGCATGTATTTTTTTGTTTTTTGTTCGCTTTGTAAAATGAAATGAGAGAGAATTTCATTCCAAAACTGTTGGCTTTGTTGTTGTTCTTTTTACTCTAACCAATATTATTATTAATATTTAAAAATGTCTGTTTCATTTCTTAACATAGATGTTGTCTTTAACAGAACATTGTAGATTTCTTCAACAAATTAAAGCTGAATAATAGAAATTCTGGTTGCATGATGTCCTTGTGCCAAGTGGTTAGGCTAAACTCAGAGTTCGGATTGTATTTATTTTTAATTTTTCTTTTATTTTCTTATTTCTATTTTTTTCCTAGTATATTTTCTAAGCTGAGCTTTTATTGATACAATTCCTATAGGCCAATACTTTACATACAAGAGCAAGAGTCTGCAACCTGCAGCCCGGGAACTGCCCGTGTCTCTATTAAACTTCTACAATGGCTCTTAATAAAGGTCTAAATGATATAAAGAACCAATTTATGTAGTTCTTAGAAGCATTTTTAAACAATATGAAACATTTTTATTTTACATCAAATTGGCATCAAATAAAAAAAAAAATCAATGCTTCATCTTTATGAAACATTTTATTTTTTTCCTAATTTTAAAACAAAAATTACAAGTTAGAGTTGGTTTTTTCAAAATGGCAACATATTTCTTACCCCTGATATTTATAAAATAATAATGTGTTTTATTAAATGGTTAAATAATATCTGCACCTTTTAACATCTTTTACATAGCCAGACTCGGGGCAAAATGGCTCCTTTGCTTTTTAAAAGGAGGAATGCACCTGGTTACTGTATACCCAGGTTATATACTGCATGCTCTTCCTAGGAGTATGGTAAGAAAAGGAGGGGAACTCTACGGTTTAACCTTTCCAACTAATGGCCCAGTAGAAACCGGCATAATTTCAGCATAGACGCTCAATCTAACTGGGTTGTGATGTGCTGTATTAAGACTTTGTTTTCTAACAAAAAAAATTAATAAATATCATTAAAGGGGAACTGTTCCTTAATAACTTTTTTTTTTCAGTGTGATAACTGATAGGAACGTTTGGTATTACTTACTTAATGGTATGTTATGTAAAAAGGGCCTTACAGTGTGTGCTGCAGCAGATAGAGGTGTCCTCTGGACAGGGGTCCGTCGGTGACTGCGGTTGTCCCACAGAACGATCTGCCCTGAGTAAGTCCCTCCAACCACCAAGTTGGGATGAAACTTGGCAAAACCAACAGATACCACCGGAGACTGAGGACAGAGGAAAAGGATCCATGAGAGCTTGCTTTTTTTTGAGGATGGGATATGCTAGATAATAGAGAAAATAATTAATGTTGAAACCTTATGGATTGGGGAAATTATAAGACGAGACATCAGTTGGTGAGAAAAGATTGAGATATGAATTGAAAGCGGTTTTGCTCCACTGGGTGGGAGTTAAAACCAGTCATTGGGACAACGAGATGGGTGGCAGACATGGGGAAGCAGACAGAGACGGAGATGACAAGCTTGGCCACTGAGAGGGTCCTCCAAAGAGAGGAGAGAGGGGTGAAGGGGTGGAGAAAAGACAAAGAAGGGAATTGTACCCCCCCGTTCCCCCCGCCGTTTCACATTACAGCATCAAAACTCCAGCAGCCACTGAAGCGCTCACCGTAGCCTCCATCACCACCACCGCACCTTGAACTCCCTCCCACGCTACTTATTGAGTTTTCGTTCCTCTCCGGTGCTCGTTGTGTATTGCTTCTGCTTCTGCTCTGAACAGCCAACCGCTCCCGACCCCCGGGGGTCACCGAGGGATCTCTGCGTTTCAGTTATGAGAAAATGTTTCATCCTGTTGGTTGGTGCAACAGGAGGGTAAGTGGTGTAACGCTCTAACAAATTGAGAGGAGAAATAATTTACAAGCCCGACAGGGCCAAGTGAAGCTCTCAAACACAAATCACAATTAAATCCAGAAACTACAAGATTCAGGCGGCATTCTGGAACAGGGTTGTTGCCTAATACGGTCGTAGATTTATTAGAAGGAGCTTGGCTGACAGTTTTATTGGTCTTGAATATCGGATGCCAGATATTTGGCTGTTAAAAAGCAGCTTAGAGTGTGCTTGGAGGCTAAACCTGTCAATAATCATCAGCTTCCTAATCTTAATAACTGTATTAAAAAGGAAGTCATTAAGGTAATTAAGCATTTATGACAAATTGGAATCTGATCTTTTAACAACTGTAGATTAAACTGGTGAAACACATCAGAGAGATTGATGTTATTAAAATTGCTTTGCAAAGGTTATTTTAAAGCCACCTGGTAACACACAAAAGATCAACAGCATTGAGTCAAACAACCAGGAAAATCTGCACCAACTTTTGTTTTGCTTTTTTTACAACTGGCACTATGAGCTGTAGCGGCGTGCAAAAATATGATCTAGATGAATTTCATACCCCTGTTGTAATATTCCTCTCTGTCCTTTTTTTTTTTTTTTCCTTCTCTGTCTTCCGTCCATCCCTGCCAGCACACCATGTGGAAAGCAGCCAAAACCCCACTTCATTTCAAACGGCGACTGGAAAACAAACCAGAAGGAAAGAAAACACTACGCAGTCCTTATTTTTCACTTTTGCTACTCCAGAGGCATCGCCGGGTCCAAAGGAACGGCTCTGTAGTCGCTTCAGATGTCGAGACTCAAAATAAACAGCTTCGGCGATAAAAATAAAGTCGCTCATCAGCTGCCATGAGGGTTCTTTATTTACACAGCGTGACAAGAGGGGATTGAGGTTTTAGGCTTTAGTACCAGCCAGATTTAACCAATAAGCTGTTGGGAGAAACAAAAGGTCAATATTCACCAAAAATGCAAACCTTTTATGTTTAGTTTTAAGTCAAAGGAGAAGACTAAGTCATTTACAAAGACATTAATATGTCTGGAACTTTTTCAAAACCCCAAACTTTACTGTGTGTTTGGGATTTACTGTTATGCACCGAAACAAAGTACAGTACAGCATAATCGTGAAATAGAAGGAAGATCCACTTTCGAAAATTTCAGAAAACCTTTCTAAGACTTTTGGAGTCTTTAACATGATTTCTTCTAGTTTCTCCACTTTAAATCAACTTAGACTAGCCTGTCCCTGCTAAAGAGCAGCATTTCCACAGCATGATGCTGCCACCACAGTGTTTTACAGTATGGATGATGAGTTCAGGGAATTGTTTTAGGCCATATATAGTGTTTTGGATGTAAATAAAGTGAACCTAAAACCTCAATGGTGTTTAATGCAAGGCTTGCAGCAGCATATAAACAGGATTACAGATGGCTTTCTTTCAACAATATGCAGTATAGTAAAATATGTCTTTTTATACCTTTACACACAACCAAAACATAAACTTTATATTACGATATTAGTAAGCTTGCTTTTAAAGCTTAGATTTTTTTTAAATGTATAGGAAATAAACTTATAAAAAATTATACCTGTATTTCAGTGGGAATCTAGCAATACAACAATTCTTGGTTAGATTCCAATTTTCTCCTGCCACATGATGATGTGCCCATTGGCAAGGCAGAGCCTCACCTGCCTCCCCTGAATGCACATCCCATTTGGATGGATGGATGGATGGATGGATGGATGGATGGATGGAAGTCCAGTAAAAATTAACAGCATAATTTACTTCCTACAGTAAATGCTGCAGTGTTAAAGTAAAACTTTGAGAGTACATTTGGTCCCACACTAATGGCCGGATTTATCAAGATCCAATTTTGCGCGCAGTAATTTGCGCTCGCAAACTGGAATTTTGCACGAGGGGCTGAACCATGGTTTGCGGGTGATTTAACAAGAGTGATTGCATAACTGGTGGCAGGTGCAAAACTGTTGGAGACGCCCTATTTAAATGATGGTTTTGCGCGTTTTGTGGTTTGCGGCAAAGTAGTTTGTAGTTTGTACAAACTAGTGCTAGTGGCTAGTGACACTAGTGTACAAACTAGTGCATTAAGAAATTTAAATCTTATAGTGATCCCCAACGATAAAAAAAAAAAAAATATATATATATATATATATATATATATATATATATATATATATATATATATATATATATATATATATATATATATATATGGTGGTATGTGGCTGAATTTCTACTTCACTGCAGTAAAAAAAAAAAAAAAAAAAAAACTGGTGTTTTGTATTGGCCTGTAGAAAAATGCACATACCAAATGGCTCACAAGAAGTGACTGTGGATGAGATTACTGCGCGTACGCATTTCCCACAGCATTGGCATGTTGCTCCACAGGCGCAGGGGGAGAATCCCGACCCCGTCGGACAGCACTTCGGACAGCACTTCTGAAAAAACGAGATTGGGAGATCCCAGCTCTCGCTGCAACAGTACCCTGGAATGACCCTGAAAAGTGCAATGTTCCAAGGAGTTTTGTGATATCTGGTATTGCTTGGGTCCTCCTTGTGGCTGGCTCCAAATCCATTCTGAGTTCTCCCAACAGCTTCAAAATGGCAATGCTGGATAAACGATATGTTTTGATGATCGTTTCCTCCTTCATTGCAAAAATATTCACACGGAGTGAAAAAATGCGTTCTCTGCGTCTCCTTGCTAAATTTCGATGTCTCCTTCTTGCGACAATAACCGCTGCCATGTGTGCGCAATTATGCATACAGACCATTTGCACCTTCATTTGAAACGTGTTAAATATAGAGTCAGATACCGTTAGCAAAATTATTTCAGGTTTGATAAAACACTATGCGAGTGCTAAATTAATATATTTACATGTTCTCCTCCGACAAGACGCACTTTTGCGTGTAAACGCCCCATATTGCATATTCATTGCAGAAAAAGTACTAAATGGATAAGAGGCGCTATTTAGCACGTTTTAAAGATCAAATCCTTTTAGCACGCTGTTGATAGATCAGTTTGTACATTTTTTAGCGTGCCCAGTGAAATAGCTCACGTTTTTACACACGCAAACCTTTGATAGATCCGGCCCTAAGTCAGACTGGGACCAAATGTACTCTCAAAGTGTTACTTTAACCCTGCAACATTCACTGTAACAGGACTTTTGTTTGTCCTAACAACAGCTGAATAGCAGTGAGATACTCTGCATTAAAGAGTTAAACCCTATAAACACAGTCAAGATCAACCAATTTATTATATGAACAAACATCAGTGACATGACTTCCTACCTTGAGAATACTTTGAACCACTTTGCTTAGTGCTGTTTTAAATGGGTTATGGAACACCTATGGATATTTAGCTACCCTATTTTGATAAGCTAACATGAAAAAGATTCAGCACAAAATAAAAGATGGATCTATTTTCTGCTAATCCCCAATCTTAAAAAACAAGACTTGCCAATTAAAATTTTGGTCGATACCTTTTCTTTAATAACTGAGTGTCAGCTGTTAGAAGGTTATATTACACCTTTAATGTTCAAATTGGATTTTATTAAAATGACATATTAGGTACTGCTTTCAAATATAAATAAAACTTTAGAATTTTATGAGTGGGTGATATTTGCGGAGGTAAACAAAACATCTGTTTCACATGTATGAGCCAATCACTCAAAATTAAGGAAATCAATCAATAATAATTTAGGGAATTCAGGGTAGATAGTTACACTGTATAACTCTTCCCTAACTTAAATACGGCTTCAAAAAACTATTCGATGCTCCACATATATGTAAGAGCAGAGATTCAAAGTTTTTATGATTTCCGCCTGTAAAGCTGCTGTGCGCAGTCCCATGACATCATTACCTGCTCCCTCTGCTGTACTGTCAGTCAGGTCTGAACAGTTACATCTGTGACAGCTCCAATTACCAAGAGTTGCTACACCTGAGAGGAGCATCATATATGCCTGGCTCTCCCCGTGGGTACCTGCCAGATTCTAGAAAGCCATTTGTGGGAGTAGACCATTCAGCATTTCTATTTTTTGACCTGCTGATATCGACCTGTCCCGTTCCTGCCTGTCTTGTCCCCTTTCGTATACACCATCTTATGTAGCACTTTTCAAAACTTCTGCTTCTCTGTACATGACTCCCAGACTGACCACTACTTTTCTGCTAGCCTTAGTCCTGTCTAGCACCATCAAGATTCGTATCAGTAATTCAGTGATCTGAATCACCCAAACAGAGCTGCTGGGATTAATCATCATAGCTTGCCAGCTTCTGAGAGGGTCAGTGGCATTAATTCAGTGTACCTTCAACACCACTGCGTTGCCCTCGCCCATCACACCTGTTTCCTTACCCACAGTGATTCCAGTTCCAGTTAGTTTTT